AAGAAAAATCAGTGCCTTTTATTTATCATTAACGCGATGTCGTCCGAAAATACTCAAGATTGTAGTATCGATTTAGATACATTTTTTGAAGAGGAGAAGTTTTCTCCTAGTGAAATAGAGGAGTTTCTCAGCGATTTAGATTTCACAAACTTTATGGCAAATTTAGGCGAAATAGAGTCAGTGAATTTAGAAGAAATTAAAAGTGTAAATGAGGAGGCAGTTTCCGTAGGAGTGAAAAGGAAAAGTGATGGTAAAGAGGAAGTGCTCAATAAAAAAAACATGCGGGGAATCATTACATCCAGTTCGACAAAGTGGCAGTGGAATTACCCACTCAGTTAAGGTCTGTTGAAAAGAGGACAGAATTAGTGGCGGAGTACAACCGTCAAGGACCACTAGAAGTATACCATGAGAGGGGTATATATTATTCTATAAAGAATAATCAAATGGTGGTGGTAAGTAACTTAATTTTTAATATTTTAAATATTATTCAATAATTTGAATTGAAAATGAAAAAAAAAATTATTATTACAGGTTCCCGCAAAAGCCGTTATTGAATTGGGAGGAAAAAGGTTCGAAAGGGTATATCCAGAGCTCTTGTATGATGGAGTGACATATACGCTACCATACGAATGGCACGGATATCCCGTGCATTTAAAAGTTGCACTTGTGAAGGAGATGAGAAAGTCTCATCAAGGGGCAAGGTGGTTTATGGGCCGGCAGTATTATTATAAAAAAAATATAATTTCGGATTTAGTGTAAAAATAAATATCTTTGTATTTTTAATGTATGTATGTAAGTATTTTGTGTGTATGTGTAAATAAATAATATTTTAGGATTAAAGTTTTTTTTTGTTTGTTTATATTAATTGTATATTGTGATGTAAAGAAATAATATTTTATATTAAAAATAAAAAAAAAATTTATAGGAAAATGTTTTGTTTTCATTTATATGTATTTTATATATATTTCTTTTAAATTCTATAAATTGTTTATAAAGATATCTTATTTTATTTTACTTATATATTTTTTCTTTAAATTCTAAAAATTTTATTAATTTATAAAGGTATCTTATTTTATTTTACTATGTTGCTAGCTTTAATTTTATTAGACATATATATATATATATATATATCACCGTCCGACAAAATTCAACTTTTTTTTTCACACACGAAAAAAACAATGATTTTCAGAAACTAGGACCAAAAAAAAGATACCCGTGTCTGGGCGTTTTGCTAGATCAGGTCATTTTTTGCTTTTAGGGGTAAAAACAACCCTTAAATGAAAGGTGATAGGAAATCTTGTACAAATTAATAATTTTTTATGAAAGCTGGTATCTCGGGGTTTTCCGGGTCGCTGATTACGAATCTGATGTCAGATTTTCAAAATTCAAAATGGCGGATCCAATATGGCGGTCGAAATTTATAAAAATTCACCAATTCATTTGAAAGTTGTTACTTAGGGGTTTTTGGGGTCGCTGATTACGAATATGATGTCAGATTTTCAAAATTCAAAATGACGGGTTCAATATGGCGGTCGAAATTTATAAAAGTTCATCGAATTCACTTGAAACTTGTTACTTAGGGGTTTTTGGGGTCGCTGATAACGAATATGATGTCAGATTTTGAAAATTCAAAATGGCGGATCCAATATGGCGGTCGAAATTTATAAATATTAATTATTTTTTGTAAAACTCTGTATCTAGGGGTTTTTGGGGTCTCTGAGTACGAATCTGAAGTCAGATTTTTAAAATTCAAAATGTCAGATTCAATATGGCGTTTGAAATTTATAAAAGTTCGTCGAATTCACTTGAAACTTGTTACTTGAAGATTTTTGGGGTTGCTGATTACAAATTTGATGTCGGGTTTTCAAAATTCAAAATGGCGAATCCAATATGGTGGTCGAATCTTTAAATCGTAAAAATAAGCGTCTAAAATTTACACAAACGTAATACAAGAGTTTTTATGAAATGTTTCTATTAATTTTATTTTATTGCATCATATTTGTTTCAGATTAAAAATCACTTAAAATAAAAATTTTAAAATGTTAGCTTGCAAATTTTAACAAAAAATTGATCGAACATTTAAATTTTCAAAATTATTTTTCAGATTTGTGATCTTCACCTTTATTAGATTTGGCGTTTTTATTATTTTTATCTGACATCACTTTCGTACTTAGAGACGCCGAAAGCCCTTAGATACCAAGTTTTACAAAAAATTAACTATTTTTATAAATTTCAACCGTCATATTGAGTCTGCCATATTGAATTTTAAAAATCTACAATCACATTGTACAATCAGATACCATCGTACTCAGCGACCCCAAAAACCCAGAGATACAAAGTTTTATAAAAATCTAATAACATTTATAAATTTTGACCACCATATTCGATCCGCCATTTTGAATTTTGAAAACCCGACATCGAATTCGTTATCAGCGACCCCAAAAACCTTCAAGTAACAAGTTTCAAGTGAATTCGATGAACTTTTATAAATTTTGACCGCCGTATTGAATCTGCCATTTTGAATTTTAAAAATCTGACTTCAGATTCGTACTCAGCGACCCCAAAAATCCCTAGATACCAAGTTTTACAAAAAATAATTAATATTTATAAATTTCGACCGCCATATTGGATCCGCCATTTTGAATTTTCAAAATCTGACATCATATTCGTTATCAGCGACCCCAAAAACCCCTAAGTAACAAGTTTCAAGTGAATTCGATGAACTTTTATAAATTTCGACCGCCATATTGAACCCGTCATTTTGAATTTTGAAAATCTGACATCATATTCGTAATCAGCGACCCCAAAAACCCCTAAGTAACAACTTTCAAATGAATTGGTGAATTTTTATAAATTTCGACCGCCATATTGGATCCGCCATTTTGAATTTTGAAAATCTGACATCAGATTCGTAATCAGCGACCCGGAAAACCCCGAGATACCAGGTTTCATAAAAAATTATTAATTTGTACAAGATTTCCTATCACCTTTCATTTAAGGGTTGTTTTTACCCCTAAAAGCAAAAAATGACCTGATCTAGCAAAACGCCCAGACACGGGTATCTTTTTTTTGGTCCTAGTTTCTGAAAATCATTGTTTTTTTCGTGTGTGAAAAATCGTGTCGGACGGTGTATATATATATATATATTTTTTTAATGTATTAAATTATACAATTCTATATAAATATGTTTATCTGAAAAAAAAAATTTTTGAAGTATCAAATGCAGAGTGCGTAATATGCATTCAAGGTTTCAGCAAAAATTTTGTATGTGAAATTAGAAAATTTTTGAAATCTTCTTTTTTTTTTTGTTCTTATATATACATTATATATATATCTATATATTTTGAGAGAAAAAATAAAGGTGTTATAAATGAAAAGATAGTTTTTGGAAAATGGTCATAGTAAGGAATTTGTGAAAAAAGGGAAAAAATTGTAAAAGTGGGGAAAATTGTATCCTATAAAAGGATGTTAGGATGGGTTTAAAACTTTAGTTTAAGAAAGATCAGTGACTTATATTATTATTAACGCGATGTCTTTCGAAAATTCCCAAGATTGTAGTATCGACTTAGATACATTTTTTGAAGAGGAGAAGTTTTCTCCTAGTGACATAGAGGAGTTTTTTGGTGATTTAGATTTCGCAAATTTTATTGCGAATTTAAGCGAAATAGAATCGGTGAATGTAGAAGAGATTAAAAGTGAAAATGAAAAAACAGTTTCCGTAGGAGTGAAAAGAAAAGGTGATAGTGAAGAGGAAGTGCTAAAAAAACATGCGGGGAATAATTTCATTCAATTTGACAAAGAAGCAGTGGAATTACCCACTCAGTTAAGGTCTGTTGAAAAGAGGACAGAATTAGTGGCGGAGTACAACCGTCAAGGACCACTTGGAGTATACCATGTGAGGGGTATCTATTATTCGATCAAGAATAGTCAAATGGTGGTGGTAAGTAATTAAATTTTTAATATTTTAAATATTATTCAATAATTGAAAATAAAAAATAAATAAAAAAAATTCATTATTACAGGTTCCCGCAAAAGCCATTTTTGAATTGGGAGGAAAAAGGTTCGAAAGGGTATATCCAGAGCTCTTGTATGATGGAGTGACATATACGCTCCCATACGAATGGCACGGATAACCCGTGCATTTAAAAGTTGCACTTGTGAAGGAGATGAGAAAGTCTCATCAAGGGGCAAGGTGGATTATGGGCCGGCAGTATTATTATAAAAAAAATATAATTTCGGATTTAGTGTAAAAATAAATATATTTGTATTTTTAATTTATGTATGTATGTATTTTGTGTGTGTGTGTAAATAAATAATATTTTAGGATTAAAGTTTTTTTTGTTTGTTTATATTAATTGTGTATTGTGATGTAAAGAAATAATATTTTATATTAAAAATAAAAAAAAAATTTATAGGAAAATGTTTTGTTTTCATTTATATGTATTTTATATATATTTCTTTTAAATTCTATAAATGGTTTATAAAGATATCTTATTTTATTTTACTTATATATTTTTTCTTTAAATTCTAAAATTTTTATTAATTTATAAAGGTATCTTATTTTATTTTACTATGTTGCTAGCTTTAATTTTATTAGATATATATATATATTTTTTTTTTAATGTATTAAATTATACGAAGAAAATAAACTATTGGAGTTGATTATTGGAACTTTGGATCATTAATGATGTTGGAAATTGAGGATTTAGGTGACAATTTGTTAGCAGTTTGGCTTTCAGGAGTAGAGAAAATTATTGAATTCTTTCGTCTTTTAATATTAGGGATTTTAAGAATTATTCTTTCTTTTGGTTTTTTGTTTTTAATTTGAAAAGAGTTTGAAATAGATAATATTTTTTTTATCATTTTATTGGCGACAAGAGTTTGGCCAACGGAAAAATCATTTATAAAAACAGTTTCTACTTTATCGTGTACATAAATATATATATATATATATATATATATATGTTACGGTGACGTGACAATAGTAATATTTTCCAATGTATTTCTCGCGGCGGTACCAGCTCGCCTCTATTTATTTACAAATTAATTTTACATAAATATTTATTTTATTTATTCAAATTAATTATTAATAATAATTATTATTTATTTATAACAAAAATGTTACGGTGACGTGACATTATTATTATTTTTAATTATACTAATTATTATATTAAGTCCGATGTAACAATGTTTAATTATAAATGTTGATATTTATTAATTTTTATTAAAAACAATATTAATTGTTAATTAAATTAAAACTGCTTATTGTAGAGAAATATTTAGATTCCTTTGGCTTTTCTTCCCACGTACAAGGTCTACGGAATTCTTGACCAATTTCATTAAGCCACTTGTTCGCCACTGAAAATATATAAAAGTAATAAAATCAATAATACATATAAATGATAATAGTAATTATATCATTCATTGAAATGTTTATAAGTTTAAAATTTTTATCAATTGTATAGATGTTGCATCATCATTCAAAAAAAATATAAATAAAAATATACTATACCCCATTTTGTGCCAGCAATCACAGGACAACCAGAATGAGCAGTCAGTAAGTTAAAATCTCCATTTTTTCTAAGATTGTACCAGAATATTGCATTTCCTTTCTTAGGTGATATTGTAATATTTAAATCGATGAAAATTGTATTACCTCCTTCACTGACGTCACTTAGCTGTAAAAAAAAGTAAAAAAAGGCCTTTAATTTACTGCTTCTACTTGTTTTTAAAATATTTATTAATGAAATTATTACATAAAACATGAGAGTAGCTATACGATCCCCAATTTCTAAGGGCATTTTCTGTAAAAGTTAAATATAGTTGAAGTTATTACATTAAATTTATCTGAATCATCAATGGCATGAAAATGTTTTCTTACATTGAAATTTTGATTTTTAAAATTTTATAGACCTACATGTTCAATATCAAAATCATAATGTACATCGTATTTGCCACCGACTTGATAACGTGTGATTTGTAAGACTTCTGCAGAATCAAGAGCTAAATTTGTCATATCTTCCACACGTCGATTTACATTTTTCACATGTTTGTGATCATCGTCAATGAGCCAAGTAGTCTCACTAATTCTAACTTGAGATGAGTATGATCCATTAACTCCTTCGACTTCTGATCCTTGAAGCTAGAAAATAAAATATAAAATTAAAAGATCGTAACTTTATTTTATATAAAACAGTATTAACTAAACATACCATATGCTTAGACATATCCTTCATAGTATCTATTTCTTCCTCAGAAATAACATCATGAAACATTACAACTCTTGGTTCTAGATAAATATCTTCCTCTTTAAATGGAGCAATTTTAAGAAATGGTATATCGTGATGAACGTATCGACATTTTAATAGTTTTTTAATATCATTGGACAAGAAAATTTTATCATTGCAAAGCAAATTGTAATGTTGATAAAACATTTTTTCGATGTCCTCTATTTTTTTTGTTAATAAATTTTTTACTGGTTTCCATTCTTCCGCTAGTCCTTTTAGTATTAAATACATTATTGTAGTACTTGAGATATGTTGTTTTAGAATTTCAGATGCTTCTTTAAACGCTTCATAATTAAACCCAATATTTCTAAAGAAAAAATGTTGTTTAGACTTCTAATGCTGCAAAAATACACTAATAAATCTGTGGGAATCAGCCTGTAGCCTAAAGTACACCCTATGGGGAGGTTGTACTTGTTCTTCTATATATTCTTTTTATAAATTCAAGTCCCCAAAAATGGGCCTGATAATATTATCTTTATCTAAAAAGTGGAGTGGGAATCATTCCCTTTAAAAACCAAGGGAAGTCCCATTAGAAGTCAGTTAAAAAAATTCTTCAATTCAGTTCAAACCTTTTAGTTCAATTTTTTTAATCAAGTACATAAAATTCATTTCTAAAAAAAACACAAGTATAAAAAAATATTCTTCATAAAAGTATCCAGTATTATCATTGCTACAAAATCCCAATTTAAAGAATTTCATTTATAAAATTAATATTAATATAAAAAAAAGGAATATATTCAAGGAAAGGAAAAACTGATATTCAACAACACACTGTAAAAAAACAATAATCAATAAAAAAGTAAGTGAATTAATAATAAAATTTATTTGATTATCATTTCTTTTCTATTTTCTGTTCCCTGATAGTATTGGTACAATTTAAGTTGGACCCATACTATCAACATCACATTTTGGTTAGGACCTTTTCCAAATTTTGCCGATTCAATTTAAGTTGTATCGACAAAATTTAATCCATATATTTTCCAATTTCCTTTTTTCTAAAAGAAAACTCAAATTATAAAATTATTCCCAAGTTAGAGGACAATGCGTTCCTGACTTGAAATAATTAAATTAAATACTTTGCTTTGTGCATCCTAGGATGTAACAGTAGTAAATTAAGAATCGGTAGAGCTAGCTCACCAGACTCAAAGGAAAAGACTATATTTTTAAAAAAAGTCTGACTTAAATAAACCGCCACCACAGCAGCGGACCATAGGCAGAGTTTCGCGTCCGCGCGAGTTTGAATTTAAAAAGTGATAGTGAAATAATAAACATTAATAGTGAAAAAGGGGGTTATCAATCCCAAAAGTTATCAGATGTTAATAAATTATGATTTTCTCCATTAAATCCAGACATGATATAAAATGAAGAAATACTTTTGTATGACAAAAGAACAAGAACTTCACAACTAACAGCGCAAAAAACCCACTCATAAGAAAACTGAGGGTTCAAAGCCTATGTGAAACCAAACACAAGTCCAGATAAAAAATCATCACTAATCTTAAAAAATACATTGATACCTTCAAGCGAAGAAATCAAAATGAACAATGAAATGGAAACAGATGTTCAGCAAGCGAGTACGATAGAAGAACTTTTACAAAGCATCCATCTGTAACGTCCAGCGAATTTTGACGTTTAAAATTTATTTTATTTTATTTTCTCACACATTTTCTATTTTATTTTACTTCGCTATAACATGAATTCTTGAGGATAAGATAAGTTTATGAGTTATAAATTTTTTCCAACTTTCTTAAGAAATCTTTATCCTGTAAAGTAAATATTTTCAAGTTTTCAAATTGTAGTAAATAAGATACTTTAAAAATTTATAACACCCCATGGATTTATCCAGTCCCAAAAATTCACATCTGTCGCCACTAAACAATAATCTATATCAAACAATAGATTACCTTCAAAGGACCATATTCCTTAAGTGCCGTAGCACTTAAAAACCTATGTAAACAAGTAATATAACCATACCTATGTATAGATATATATAGATATACAATACAAAGTACAAAATAATAATTCAACATTTAGAATAAATTTTCTATATATATATTATTTTCAATAATATTATTAGTTAATTATTATATAAAGAATTTATAATTATTAATTGTTTAACTAATTATTGTTATAAATAATTAAAATAAATGAAATTATTACAATTAATATAAATTCAATATTTTTATTAAACAAAACATAAAAATTATGTAATAACATAATAGTTAATTAACAATAATTGTTAAACAATGAATAATTAACTAATTAATAGATGAAAATCTTAAATGATTATTTAAACTAAAAATTAAATAAATATCTTTTAGTTTTACTTAAAATTTATTAATGGGATCCAAATATCAAATAAATTATTATTAATTAACAATAAAATTGTAAATAAATAATTAAATTCTAAATAATTTGAAAATATATTATTTGATTATAAAATTAATTGTTTTATTGTTAATAACCTTGATTGTTATTAACATTTAATAAATAATATTATGAATATTCATAAGTTTATTGAATAATTATTAAATAGTGTTTTTTTTGTAAAGTTCTTTCTGTTATTATAAATTAAACACTAATATTATTATTGCTATTGTTAATAACAATCATTTATAAACAAATTATTATTAAAAATTATATATTATTATGTAAAATGAATATAATTTAAGGAAAATTCTAAAATTTAGAGTTTACGCCATTTCTGTAAAAACTGTAAAATTGGAGTTGGAAGGAGAGATGAAGTTGAGCTAGGACAAGTCTCAGCCCCTTTTTTTTAAAGATCCTTCTATGCGTTAAACCCCCAAATATGGGACGGACCCAAATTCTCCAATAAGGCCCATTTTTCTAATGAGTTTTTCTCCATTTTTCTTTTTCTTGAACCAATCTTAAAATACCCAACCTCTTTTTCCCTTACTATGACATTTCTATCCCCAAATTTTTCGCCCTTAAGAAAATTGGTAGTGGGAAATGTCATATAAATATATGTACTTCCGTAAGGAAGTTCAGAGTTTAAAAAATCTTCTTCAATCTCAAGTTAAATTACAAGTTACTCAACTTCATCGAATATTCCAATTTCAAGGACAAACAATTATAATAAAAAGTAAGTTACAATTTTGAAATTGCTATCTTAATATTTCTTTCTACATTCTATCTCATAATTCCTAATTCCGGAATCATTCTCGTACATATATAATGTATGTATAAGAATTTATTCCATAATTTTTGTATTTGATTCCTTACATTTGAATAACCTGTGAATCCAAGATCAATTATTGAACTGTCAATTCAGTTCGAGAAAGATCTGAATCCTTTTAAATTCAATATCCCAAATTATTTTCTAAATTGAATCAGAATAATCAAAAGAGATTTGAAAGTATTCCCAAGCTATTGGACTTTAAAGTCTAGGCTTAAAATTAATTATTATTTTAATTATTAATTAAATAAATTTATGTTATGTTCAATATTTTTGGACGTAACACATCAGCAAAATCAAAAGAATTGAAAAATATTCAAGTAAAAAATACCAACACTGAAATGGAAACAGATGTCGAAATAGCGAAAAAAGCATATGAAATGGCAACGGGTTTTTCCCAGCATCATAAAAATCAACAAAGTGAAAAAAGTGGAAAGAAAAATTTCCCTCCTCCTTCAATCGAGAATAGTGTGACCAGGAGCAATAATCCGACCAACTGCCAGGACCAAGATACATCTAATAAAATAATTATCTCGACCAACAGTAAGGGAACGGCAGGTAAACCATCACCGATCATAATATATGGACAAGACCAAACAACAATTACCAAGTTCTTTAAGAGAAATCCTTTCTCTTAAAACGATTAGATTCAACTACAGATTTCGCTGAGATACTTGAAAATTTAAAATCATTCAAGTCAGAAAACATAAAATTTATTAAAGTTTCCAGATTCACAACTTTAAAATCTCAAAAAGAAAATAAAACGTTACCTTTCTTTTTAGTACAGTTAACCCCAAATAGCGAGACAAACTTATTGCATAAAATTAAATACATAAACTATCAAGTTATCAGATGGGAAAGATTAAAAAAAAGAGAAAGCATACAATGTAAAAAGTGCCAAAGATTGGGACACGTAGCTTCCAATTGTAACTTAGATTATAGATGCGTAAAATGTAGCGAGAATCATACACCGGGGAATTGTAAACTTCCGGAGCCAACGAATGCTAACGATTGGGAGTATGTATATTGCGTAATTTGCAAAAAAAATGGACATCCAGCCTCTTATAGAGGATGCGAAAAACGAATTGAATTAAAACGTAGAATGCAAGAAAAATTAGAAGCGATAAGAAAGAGTAAAATGGAAAAAGAACAAATGTTTAATAATTTCACATCAGAATCTTCTTATTCAAACGTCTTAATGAAAAACACTTAAAACAATTCTCCACAAATACAACAATTAATAAATAATAATTAACAACAAACGTTAAACAATTCACATAACTTACAAGCATGCTTAGATAAATTAAGAAATCAAATAATTAAAGTTACACAATTAGTTCCACAAAATAGTGATAGGATAAATAATTTTTATTCACTTTTGACTAATTTAAGTTAAATTAAATAACCGCACAAATTTAAATACAACAAATGCTATCATCGTTAAAAATTTAAAAATAATCTCCTTAAATGTGGTCTGCCCCCACATTTCTCCCTACCGGGCATAATTAATCAGATTCTCTCCAGGCGTGATCAAGAGTGGTCGTGGTTGGAGGTGTGAGTGTGGAGTAAAATAATTCTGTGATAACTATTTTATTAGTTGGTTTAAATAATTAGTTTGTTAGAATAACTATTTAATTAGTTACCTTACTAACTAAATGGTTAGACTAACTAAATAGTAAAAAACAACTAATATAAATTAGCAAAAATACTCTTACTAACGAAATGGTAATCGTAACCAATTGTTTCTCTCAGCGTAAAAATTTTGTTACATTAAGAAATCTTTTTTTCGACGCACTTTAATTGTACAGTAATTATATTTGTTATTGCTATACATTTAAATTGCATCTATTTCCAAGTAGTATTACTTGCAATATTTAAGAATATATTATCCCACCGTTGCGTTGCGTGCAAATATTAACTAGGCGCCTTTTTTTGTTTATTACGGATTACTATTTATTATTCCTAGGATTTGTTAGCCTTAGGAACTTGTTAAATTAAATAAATAAATTGCAAATACGTAGTAATCTGATATTTAAATTTGATATTTTTAACTACATTTGTTTATACTTTAACTTTTAATAAAAAAATTAATTCTATTTAAAATTAATTTTAATTGTTATTATGTTTACTAAAAATTGTGAAATTAACGAATGAATTACACACCTGAAAGGAATCATCGTAATATCTTTGTTATGAAATTGTTTATCCAGATCATTTAGAAGTTTAATTTTGGTTTTCAGTAATTCTTCAATGCTGTTGAGTGTTCTAGTGAATTTGTCATTTTCTATTCCAAGTGTTGTACTTAATGCAATTAAAATGACAAGGATATTTACTTGTCGAATCATTTAGGTTGATCTTAAACAAATTTAAAAAAAAAACAATAAGCATTCTAATTATTATTATTTATTGCTTAGATCGTTACAAAAAGTTCCATATAAAGGAGTATTACATCGAAATTAGCAATCTAAAAAATAGTAAACATTAGATTATTTCTTTAATTAATACAAAAATAATTCCACTAATTTCAACATTTAAAAATTTCGCTGACAACCAGAACAAAATTAATCAAGGAGGGCTCGCTAGTAGACATAAAAGAATTCTAATTATTTCTTTAAATTAAAAGAATCATTTAAAGAATCTACTGGATAATTAATTTGTTAAGTTGGAATAAAATAATTGACAGTATAATCGAATGCAAAAAGTGGGACTCCAATTTAAAATAAATGAAGAAGAAAAATATTATATAAGCTTTTAGTGTCAACCTGTTCTTTGCAGAATGTAAGTGTGATATAAAGTATAAATTATTATGTGAATTGTGAAGGAAATAATTGGAGAATGTAAGTAGAGGACAAAAATATTGAAAAATTGATGCACTTTTTATTTAAAATATTGTAACGAATTTTTTAATTTTGTACTCAGTTTAAATTAATCTTGAAGATCATTTTATTCTAAATTTCTAATTAAATTGTTTTTGACTATTTTTGTTATTATTTGTCGATAGATATAATATTTAATAATAAATTATGTTTTACCTTTGTAGTATGAAAATGTATTTATTGTTAAAATTATTAAAAATATGTCTTTTATTTTTTTTTTAAGAAGAAATTTAGTGTATTTTAAAAAAATATAATATTACAACGTAATGTCAAAGGCAACAAACTGGACTGTAATATTAGAAAACTAGTTTATAATTATATTGTTAAGTGGGCAGTAGAATCGTAGATAACACTATTATCAGTATTTTATATAATTAATAGAATAGTAATTTCATATAAATTTATTTTTTCCAATGATTGAATAATTATAAATTTTTAAAAAACAATGGTAAATTTAAGAAATAAGTAAGCTACTTGTGTTTAAAGTTATGTGTATACTTAAAAAAACTATATTTCTTGTAGATTGATGAGGACAATGAAATATTGTCAAAACATTGTATTTGTTTTTTCACTAAATGTATTTAATAATTTTTTATAATAATTTTTTTATTAAACAAAGAAAAATAAATTTAAACCTAAATTAACTGTTTTAGTTCGGAATATATTCTTATTTTAACCTCCTCTTTATCTACTAATTACTTTAAGTGTAGTCACTTTAACAACACATTTCTTAAGCCTTTTCGTTTAGTCAACAGCAAATACGAACTGCTGATTTGTCGATGTTACTCTAAAAAAAATCTTTACAAATTTTAATTTCTATTTTTATTAACAATCAAAAGCTTTAAAAATTTTTAAATAAGGAGAAATTTAAAAAATTTATTTTATTCCAGCAGGTTAATAATGATAAAAATATTATCACTGTTCCTCGCAATTGGTGTAATAGCAGC